AATTCACCTTGATTTGGCCTGATGGGAGTTGTAGTTCACCCACCACCTTATGCACTTTATACAATTAAAAATTGATTATTTTTTCAACTAACCCAGGAACACAGAGCCCCCACGACAAGCAAAAGATATTGGAGGACTTTGGAGGAATTTTCCCTGATTTGGGGGAGTTGTAGTTCACCTACATCCAGAGAGCACTGTGAACCCAAACACTGATGGATCCGGACCAAACCTGGCACACACACCCGATATGCTGAAATTTAATTACTGGAGGGGTTTTGGGGAAAATGACCTTCCTTTTTGGGAGTTGTAGTTCATCACAACCTACACCCATAGCAGACTATGAAACCAAACAATGGTGGATCTGACCAAAATTGGCATGCATACCCGATATGCCCAAGTTTGAATACTGGAGGGTATTGAGGGGAACCGATCTGGATTTTTTGGGGTTGTAGGTACTGGGATGTATAGTTCACCTACAATCAATGCACACTCTGAACTTCACCAAAGATGGAATTGGACCAAACTTGGCACACAAAGCCCCCATGACCAGCAAATAATAATAATAATAATAATAATAATAATAATAATAATAATAATAATACTGGAGGTCTTTGGGGAAAATTCACCTTGATTTTGCATGATGGGAGTTGTAGTTCACCCACAACCTCATGCATTTTGTACAATTGAAAATTGATTTTTTTTCCCAAGTAACCCAGGGACCCAAGCTAGTTGGACTACAAAACACACTCAGCCTTTTGTGTTGCATTGTGTCCGAATTCTGCTCTCCCAGGGCGCAAGGAGCATTCATCGCTTCATAATAAGCGTCTATTCTGAACGTTCTGTTGCCTATAAACTCCCACCTAAGAATTTTCTGCTATATATGCTTGCATTGTATCGCGATGCATGTTAAGGCACAGGAAAATAGGTGGCAGGCTATGAGTATTTATATGACATCCTGTTATAAAAGAATCAGACTAATATATATATTTAAAAGTTTGTTTCATTTCCCCATAAACTTGCAAGAATTTGAGAACAAAAGAGTTGGTTCACAGTCAGAGTAGTAATGCAGCCGCCACACTGGAATATCGATATTACAAAACTGCACAAT